AGATGCCAAAAAAAAGCATACGACAGGGTGAAATGGCCTTGCATGTTCGCACTCCTTCAGCCCTTTTACTTTACCGATGCCTTTATATCTACAGTGCAAGCACTGTACTCTAATGTGGCAGCACAGATCACAAATCACAGGTGCTGCTAACTACCCGTTTGCACTCAGCAATGGTACAAGTCAAGGCTGCCCCCTCTCCACTCTACTTTTCGTGTTAACACTAGAGCCCCTGCCCCAGGGGCTCTAGATCCACCAGGCTGAAATATTTAATACATTTATAGTTTCAGGCTACACAGATGACGTCCTCCTTACGCTAACAAACCCTTGGACTCCATGCAGGCCTTAATACCGCTACTTGCCAATTCTGGTGACATATCAGGGTACAGGGTTAACATGGGAAAATCCAGTGCCCTTGACACGGCGCACACCTACAATATCTATAAGCTCCAGATTGCACACAGTCACATTAAATATTTAGGGGTCAACCTCCCCGTCGACCTAGCAAGGATACACCAGGTCAACTTCGTCCCAATGATAAAAACACTAACAGGAGATATGGAACAGTGGATAGACAAGCCAACATCCTGGATTGGCATAATAAATGCCAATGTAAAAATGAATATCCTCTCCCCATATACTATTCTTATTTCAGGCACTGCCGCTCCCCATTTCTGAATCTGGCTTAGCTCCCCTACAAAAAGCTATAGACAGATATATTTGGCAAAACAAGACATACAGGGTAGCACGTAATATCTTATACCACCCCAAATATGTAGGTGGACTGGGTTTACCTCACCTCCATTTCTATTACCTCGCAGCTCAATTGGCACAAATAGCACTGTGGCATACCCCTGGGGGGAAAGAAAAGATCGGTGGACCTTGACTCCCTCATGATGGGAAAGGATCTCCCACAGTTTTATATATTACTCCCTAAGGAACACAGAGCTCTATTATGCACCAACTTCCAATATATAATGAACTTCAAAAAACAACCAACATTATTTATGTTTATTTTTAATATATTTTAATATTGAATTAAAGCCGTTTTTCCAAACTTCACCCGGAGCCCTGTGTTGGAGTGATAATATCCAGGGGATCTCCCCAGGCCCCCCATACTATCGGGGAAGGCACCTTACAAGCTTCAATTTGTCCAAAATCCAGTGAGTGCATTTTAATTTGCGCAATGTTTATATTGTAAACTGTATTACACTATATTTTCTCTATTTATATTTATTTTTGTAGAGATTATCAGCCGGTTCCCTCGTTGTGTTTTTTCTATATAATGAACTTCATCTGGATCTGGAATAACACAGCACAGAAATACAACCTGATGTCGTCCCCGTCCCCTATGTTGCTCCTGCTCCACAATGCGGCCTTCATACCGAGTATGAGAGCGAGGGAGTTAAAAGGCATTGAGTTCGTTGAGGCTGCAACGAATACACCAAGAGATATGATCATTCCATTCACAGACCTTCAGGCTAGGACCACACTAAAGCCAGCAGATTTCTTCAGATACATACAAATGCGTGATTTCGTCTGTCAGCCAAACATTAAACAAGCAGCCCAGACACAGCTCACTTTTTTTGAACAAATCTGTGAAGCTGAATCTTACAGCCTGATCACTACTATATATGCACACCTTTGTTCCACCACGAACGACTGGGGTAGACTAAACTACACCGATCATTGGGAAACAGACTTAAGGGAGGTCCTAGAGGGAGAGGACTGGCAAGATATTTGGGGGGCAAAAAGAAAAACATCCTTATGTGTGACCTTGCAAGAGCAGTCCTACAAAACTATGTTCCGTTGGTACACTACGCCAGTGAACATATTTTGCATGCATAAAACCCGGACTGACCTCTGCTGGAGACTGTTCAGGAACAAAGGAAAGTATTTTGGAAAAAAGTAAGAGACCTTGCGTCCCAGAGCACAAGACAATCGACCAAGACCCTTGCGTCTTTTTATTATCTAATCATATAGATCATTGGACTCGAGCAAAACAGTCACTACTCAACAAAATCACACTGAACTAAAACTGATATTCTGGTTACCTGTGTAAGTTAATTGATTTACTGTGCAATATCAGTATTTTACTACCTTGGCAACAATGATCCTTCTACACTGTACACTAATTCGATAAGTAGCACTGTCATGTCCTGATATTTCTTGTCAACTATATGATTACATGTCTACTATCGAAGTTGATACTAAAGAATAAAAAAAAAAAAAAAAAAGGAAAATCTCTATCCAGTAGATTTACCTCCAGTGAACACATGCACTTTCTATGCATGTATTCATTGGGGGTATATCTTAAAAGAGTTTGCAAAGGCGGCAGATCTTATACACGGCAGCCGTAGCAAGCCCTTATCTTTTTTTCTTCACTGGGAAGAAGTGTCTCATTGAGAAGCCCCTGACTTGGTGCTTACGTGCACGTGCACAGTTGTGTGTGAGCACCGGTTCAAACATGTGTGTGCACGTCTGGTTTGAGGTATGGAGCTGAGGAGCTGGTCTGAGGTCTGTGAGGGAGGGGGAGGCAGGGGAGCTAACGGAAGTAGGAAGGAATCCGCCCTGGTTGTTTAATTGACAGCCAGGAGGGTGTTCCCTACTAATAGAAATGAGCCCTTTTATAAACTGGGGTTAAACTATGATACTCCACACCCATAAAGAATTTCAGCAAGCTGAAGTGCTTTTGGAGTGTGGAGTGGTCCTTTAATAAAATAGCAGAACATACCATTTTAATGGCCATGTCAAATATACAGAACTCTTTTACTAAATACTTTTCTATGGCAATCTCTCAACCAAAATTGAAAAGAAAAAGCAAGCAAGCAGTTTAAGTCCACCCACTACACTACACTCAGACATATGCATAACGATTGAAAAGTTTAATGGTTTTTTGATGGTTTTAGTACACTCCTCACAAAATGTAACCAAATTTAGGACAGACAAGACCAAGATGTTGAACATAACACACTACCCAAAAAGTGCAGTTACAATCAAATGGCTAACGAAGCACAAAAAACTCCTTTCACCGGTGCGGAAGAAAAATTTGATAGGACAATAAAAGTCTCAGTAACACTGATCGCAATTATACATCAAACAGCAAAAAATCAACTGCAGTTAAAAAACAAAAACAAAGCAAAAATAAATTTTCTCTGGCTAAAGTAGTGATGAATATACATTTTAGGGAGATACTCCTTGTACAACAGATGAGAAAGCGATTTTAAATCCCCTGGAACTGCCCGTGTTTGATTCTGAGGGTGTCAATTACTCTAGATTAGGGGTAGGCAACTTCGGTACTTCAAATTTTGTGGGCCCCATTTTCACATGTGGCCAAATATACAGAAACACGATTTAGAAAACCATGTATGATCCCTGAATTGGACCCCATATTGTCCAATATTTAAACACAACAGAGGAAAGGTATTGATTAATCTCTATAATCGTGCCACAATTGGATAAGAGTGAAGATGTGAAAAACATATTTAAATTAGCTGATCAATCAGTCAATTTAGAAAGAACATTAGACTTAAATATCGTAAGAGAATGGATCTAAAACATCAACTCAACTGTTTTTTTTTTTACTGAGACCAAAGGCGATTTTACTTAAAAGTAACCCACAACTGACACACATCAAATTCAGAAACCGTCTCAGCCCCTGTAGGATTTCTCTAAATATTTATTTTTAAATATCTAAATATTTTAACTTCCCTGGACAAAGTCCTGCAGTGTTTTTAAAACAGACATGACTTCAAAATGCATTATGGAGCTAAGGAAGACCGCAAAGAGCACGAGGACAAACAGGAAGCTTCAGAATAAGAACTTTCTCAAGTAAGTACTACTCGTATCACTTTTTCCCCACAAAATAGGGTGGCAGAAACCTGTTTTTACCATGTTTGGCAATTTATAACATCAGATCAATGATTTCTAAATAAAACCAGAGCCTATATGACAGAGAGTTGTACTACTCTGATACAGACATTACAACCAGTTCCATTTAAGTTCTCCTTAGAGGAGCAAAAACTGGTGAACAAAGAAGTGAATGATTTGATAAAGGAAAGTGAAATCCTACAGGTACTTTTAAATACATAAGTATTTTTGGTAAACAAGAAAGATTCTATAATAAGACTGGTAATCAATTAAATTAAAATCCCTTAGTTCTTTCATCAGATCCACCTACTTCAAGGTGGAGGAAATTCGATGTCAAATTCATTAGAAATGCTTAAAATTTCTGTGGAACAGAAGAAAATGGAAGTTTATGTACCTTTCTTTTAGTCTATCATCTGCTCCGTTGTTTTTTACAAAGCTCTTTAAATTGGTTGTTAGTTCATTACAAAGTAGAGGGGTGAGACATGTCATTTATTTGGACAACACGGTTGCTGGAGGCCGTGAGATGTGACAGCTTCATTGGGATGAGACTGTTGTGGTAACTGGAGTGTTTTTGTAAGCAATTTAAATTCTTGTTATATGGATATGTTTTGTACTCTGAAAATGGAGCAGTTTTATTCAAGTTGTTTTAAGCTGGTATGGTGGATGGGGTTATGTTAGCTATTTTATTATTATTCTTTATTTTTGTTGTGCACAAATGAACAAACAGCCTCAATATGCCAGAAAAGCAGTATCAAGATATATAGGAATTCTACATACCATACATAATGCAACATTTGATATTTTGGCACAATTTTTAAGGTAATAGAAAGGAACATGCATCAAGGATTACACTTTCATTTCTAAATGCTACATGTAAGGTTATATGGCATAATTGAGACATAAGTATTACAAGCTGCATAGTAGTATAACAAGCTAGAGCTGTGACATATAGCTATATGCTTAACAGCCTACAGTTTCAAACGAGTGGTAGCTATATGAAGGTGAGTAATATATAACAGGTAGTGTAAGCAGGGTAGGGAGCATGTAAATGAAAAAACAAGGTTACGATATACTAACTAACAAAGGAAGGAGTAATAATACCACTGGACATCAGATATTAATCTAAGGAGCTGTCAGGAGCTTGGGTCTCCGTGCGGAGTGCTAAAAGGTGGCACTCGGAGTGTGTAGATGTCACCTGATTGCTTCACCCTATGCTGCGAGTAGGACAAGCTCTTTTCCTCTCTCGATGAGGCTGCCGCTGTCTCTTGCGCATGATGTTTGAGGCGTAAGTGACTGTCTTGCTGCTTGTCGTTCGTGAGTCGATGGTGCCACTGATCTCCGTGCCCTCGGCCCCGAGCCTTGAGGAGTGTCGGCGCTCTATGGACCCTCCCCTGCTGTTGATGCAGCCCCCTGGCAGTGACACTGATAGCTTGATGCGTGAATCTCTTGGCTAGGTCAGCAATGTTGGAAGTGGAGCGGATCGCAGGACCTCTACCTCGGGGGTCTGTGCAATGGGGAGTTAGTGCTCCTCGCATCTTCCGACCACGCCATTTCCTCTGCACTGTGCCTATAGGGATGCGCTGGGGGTGTTGAGACCTGACGGCCCTTCGGACGGGATGGCTCCTGAGAGAGCAACGGCAGGACCAGCAGGAGGTGAGATAAGTCTCTGTCGATGTAGCTTCTCCCAAAATTGCTGGCATATGTGGTCAAAAGCCATGAAGAGCTTATTCACTCGCGTGTGCATATGTGGGGTACTGGCATCGGTGGCCATTTTGACCATTGAGCTTCCATGCTCTGAGTTGCCAGGCAGCTTGAGATCAGCTTCAGATGGTGTAGTAGGCTAGTGCTAGCCAGTGAGGGCCGGGATAACCTCCCCCCCACGGTCCAGAGGGGGGAACGGGGCTGCAAGGTCTGTAGGCGCAGGGCCCCGTAGGACGGGAGGTCGGCCACCTCTCCGGCCCAGCAGTTCCACCAGGCCTCACCAACATTTCTGTCAGCCACACAAAGTAGTGCCAATCCAGCCTCTAATTATCACCTCTACATATTCCTAGGAAAGGTGAGTCTCTTTTTGAATCATTTAGTGAAGTTGGTAAGCATAAAAGTCAGTTTAAATCAGCAGTTGAGCCCAGAGCTCATGTGAAGCATGACCAGTCGCCAGGAAGCTCAAGCCCCGCCCCATGTTAGCTATTTTAAAAGGAAACAAGTTTCCTTGAACAAAAATAAAACAATACTGGTTTTTAATGTTTTAATGTGTGTATTAAAACTGCTGAGCTGCATATGACAAGTCCAACTTGTTAGTGAAAGTCACTTTTATAAAGTCAGTTCTGCTTCACTAAAAAAACACACACACGTATTGGACAATAACTCTTCTTCATAAGAGTTCCTTAATCAAGTGAAACATCAGATGAAATCTATTTTCAAACAAACTAAAAAAAAAGTGAATAAATGAAATATGCTCAAAATTGAGATCAGCCATGTTTAGACACTTTGACATCTTTGAGATTTTTGACCAAAATATTGGATCTTTTATCAGCCTCTATCCAAGCAATATTTCCAGGACCATTGCATTACAGGGCTTTACAAGACATCTAAACACAGATTGTGTTATTCTGAAGAAATAAGTCTATCTTCAGACGCAAGAGAACAAGTAATTTGGTGACTCAAATACATCCTTGCGTAGAATGGGAAAGCCATTTTCGGTGCTCTCCCAAATCAGGTAATAAAATCAGATGTTTGCTTTTTAGGCTTGAAAGCAAGATGCAGATACATTACAACAGGAGATAAATGGTTCTATTGGCATGATCATTTTTTATTTTTTTTTATTCTTTATTTTTGTAGTGCATAAGCTCATAACAGACAGTTGGGAGGTACCCCAAAGGCAATCCACCAACTTGGTATATCGACATTTAGATATAGAGGTACATAAGAAAATATGCACAATTTTTTATGATTAAAGATGATGAAAATAATAAACAGTCATAGGTCCAGCAGCCAACCCTGACTCCTAGTTGGAGGTGACTTTGCATATCAATTTGGCTAATGTTAGGCAACATAGAACAACATTCTGAGTGAGTGATACAGGCTTAGTCTGGCTTTTGTGCAAAAGTGAAATACCATTGATGGTTCTAAGCTAGCTGCAGGTTTAACCCTCGGCATGCCTCTAGTTACGAGTTGTAGTGATGGGCATGGGTCGGCAGCCAGGTATTTTCAAGGAATAAAATGTAACACCACGATGGCACGGGAGGAGGTGAGGCCATGTTGATTCCATAAATGCCTAAATCGCTTTGTTAGAAGGCGTGTGTGTAACTTGATAGGCTTGCAAAGGAGAATCAAAGTTACTGCACTGGCCCTGACTACATGCAATTCTAGTCCCTTACTACGCTAATCTCTTGTTTGATTCATTATGTTCCAGCACAAGGTATGGAGGGTAAGTATGCATGTCATATTAGGGAAATGTGCCATACTGGTGTTAGGGAGTATACAGTAAGGACTTACACAATATACATCTTAATGTGTTTGCAGAAGCTTAGGTGACTTGCGAATTCCCCTATGTTTGAGGGGTGTGTGGCTGCGTACTGTTTCTCCGCTTACCTAAGGGTGTTGTTTCCCTATGTTGGGGGTGTATGTGAGCGTTACTGGGCCGGATTTGCAACATATATTTGCGTATATGCGTGCTTGACTAGGCTGCAGTATGTGCGTAGAGTAAGTGTGGTCTTTTAGGTAGTGTCCGAGGTGACATGGCTGTCAGGAGCCGGTACCAGGGCTGTGTCCTGACTAAATCTATGCACCCCGGGTGAGCACTCCTAACCAAGGGAGTATCGGGGGGGTATGGAGTGTGGGTGTTCTAGGGTGCCCGCTAGTTTGCTTGTGTAGGGAGGGAGTTTGAGTGATTTCAGTTGTGGGATAGTTGGTACCGTATATGTGTCCCCCTCCACTAGTCGTGTTGTGCGCCCTGGAGCTGGTGTTGATCCTATCGGTTGTAGTAATAAGAAATTATGCGTTAAGGGGAGAGAGAGGGGAAGCACAGAAGGTGATATTAATAGTAAATAACTGAACATATAGTCTCTTGTAAGACTTGTGGGCGGTTGTGCCTGGCAAGGCAGTCCTCAGGTGTTGTTTCTGTGTATCCTATGTTGGGTCGGCTCTCAAGCTTGGTCCTGGGTCCGTCGCTCTCATGCTCTCGTTCCTTGGGACGAAGGTCACCATCTTGTCCGGATTCCAAATGGGAGTGGAGGTGTTCGGGGGTGTGTTGGTCCTCAGTGGCTCCAGGCCCAGTGCTGTGAGGAATGGTGTTGTGTCTTCCATCGAAGTAAGTGTATGTAGGTTTCCATTCTGGGTCACCGTTAAGGATCCGTTCGTTCCCCACCTGTAGCTTATGTTTGTTGAACGTAAAAGGCTTGTTACCGGTTGGAATGTTTTGCGCCAGAGGTGGGTTGTCTTTGTGAGATCTTGATAAAATGAGAGATGAGCCTCTTCAAAGTATAGAGGCGTTTTGCCTTTAATTGCGGACATGATGAGTATTTTGTCGTGCACTGTGAGGCACCTTAGTATGACGTCTCTTGCCATGTTAGTTGGTCCCCCCGCAGGTCCAGGTAGGTGGTAGATCCCCTCCACCGTCAGCTTTTTAGCTACTGCGTGAGGCAGGATAGAGGCCAGTAGGCGCCTAACATACAGGGAGTGCAGAATTATTAGGCAAGTTGTATTTTTGAGGATTAATTTTATTATTGAACAACAACCATGTTCTCAATGAACCCAAAAAACTCATTAATATCAAAGCTGAATATTTTTGGAAGTAGTTTTTAGTTTGTTTTTAGTTTTAGCTATGTTAGGGGGATATCTGTGTGTGCAGGTGACTATTACTGTGCATAATTATTAGGCAACTTAACAAAAAACAAATATATACCCATTTCAATTATTTATTATTACCAGTGAAACCAATATAACATCTCAACATTCACAAATATACATTTCTGACATTCAAAAACAAAACAAAAACAAATCAGTGACCAATATAGCCACCTTTCTTTGCAAGGACACTCAAAAGCCTGCCATCCATGGATTCTGTCAGTGTTTTGATCTGTTCACCATCAACATTGCGTGCAGCAGCAACCACAGCCTCCCAGACACTGTTCAGAGAGGTGTACTGTTTTCCCTCCTTGTAAATCTCACATTTGATGATGGACCACAGGTTCTCAATGGGGTTCAGATCAGGTGAACAAGGAGGCCATGTCATTAGATTTTCTTCTTTTATACCCTTTCTTGCCAGCCACGCTGTGGAGTACTTGGACGCGTGTGATGGAGCATTGTCCTGCATGAAAATCATGTTTTTCTTGAAGGATGCAGACTTCTTCCTGTACCACTGCTTGAAGAAGGTGTCTTCCAGGAACTGGCAGTAGGACTGGGAGTTGAGCTTGACTCCATCCTCAACCCGAAAAGGCCCCACAAGCTCATCTTTGATGATACCAGCCCAAACCAGTACTCCACCTCCACCTTGCTGGCGTCTGAGTCGGACTGGAGCTCTCTGCCCTTTACCAATCCAGCCACGGGCCCATCCATCTGGCCCATCAAGACTCACTCTCATTTCATCAGTCCATAAAACCTTAGAAAAATCAGTCTTGAGATATTTCTTGGCCCAGTCTTGACGTTTCAGCTTGTGTGTCTTGTTCAGTGGTGGTCATCTTTCAGCCTTTCTTACCTTGGCCATGTCTCTGAGTATTGCACACCTTGTGCTTTTGGGCACTCCAGTGATGTTGCAGCTCTGAAATATGGCCAAACTGGTGGCAAGTGGCATCGTGGCAGCTGCACGCTTGACTTTTCTCAGTTCATGGGCAGTTATTTTGCGCCTTGGTTTTTCCACACGCTTCTTGCGACCCTGTTGACTATTTTGAATGAAACGCTTGATTGTTCGATGATCACGCTTCAGAAGCTTTGCAATTTTAAGAGTGCTGCATCCCTCTGCAAGATATCTCACTATTTTTGACTTTTCTGAGCCTGTCAAGTCCTTCTTTTGACCCATTTTGCCAAAGGAAAGGAAGTTGCCTAATAATTATGCACACCTGATATAGGGTGTTGATGTCATTAGACCACATCCCTTCTCATTACAGAGATGCACATCACCTAATATGCTTAATTGGTAGTAGGCTTTCGAGCCTATACAGCTTGGAGTAAGACAACATGCATAAAGAGGATGATGTGGTCAAAATACTCATTTGCCTAATAATTCTGCACTCCCTGTAGTGAGGCAGTTTCTCTGCTGTTACTGCCTTGGGGATGCCCCTGATTTTTATATTGGATCGGCGGAGACGGTCTGCCATTGCCGTTATCTGTGTGGACATGGTGTTCTGGTGGGACCAGACCTGCTGCAATAAGTTCTGGAGTTCTGAGATGTGCGTTCACATATCCGCTATATCTGTTTCTGAGGCCTGCACTCGGTCAGTGATGGCCTTCATGTCATGTTTTATTGGTGCGAGTTCCGCCGCCAGAATTTTGTGGAAGTCCTTTAGGTCCTGCCTGGTTGTCGGTGTGGAGTCAGTGGGGATTTCATGCGGCCTCGATTGGGCGGCCGGTAAGCGGTCAGACCCTGTTTCTTCTCCCGGGTTGTTGTGGTTGGTTGGTCGCGGGATTTCCGCGGGTGCAGTTTTGGGCTGTGCCGGTCGGTGGAACAGTGTCTCTATGTCCCTGTGGTCCAACGCCCCCGATTTCTGGGAGCGGCGGCCCATTGCTGGCATTTGGGCGTGGGCGTCTGTAGGGATCCGGGGGGGATAGTTTCTTACTTGTTGTGTAAGTAGCGCCTCCAGACCTGGTAGTGTCAGCGTGGGGTAGGCCCCGGTTTTCTTTCTCCGCTTCGGCTGGTTGGGTGCAAGAAAAAAAGGCATCTGTCGCCTCAGGGGGTGTTGGTGTGTTCAGCTATCCACTTTTTAGGGCTGGATGGGCTCTCTTTTGCGGGATATCCGTGGATTTTTGATGTTGCTCGGAGGAGCTTATCAGCATGGCGTCTTGTCAGGTTGGTGGTCAAGCTCCGCCCCCCGGCATGATAATTTTTAATCAAGAATTTATTGACATTGCTGTATACTTCTGAGGATGGACAGTATTTCAAAATTTCTTTATCTCAACTGCCTGGTGAAACAATTTTTTTTTTTTTAAACTATTGGGCCTTGCATCTGATTTTTGGCACTTTTCTCTTGATCGAGACATCCCAAACCAAGAAGAATATTTACCAGGTCTATATTAAGAAACCACAATTTTCATGAACAAAAATAAAACAATACTGTTTTTTATTGTTTATATGTGTATTGAAACTGCTGAGATGCATATGACAAGGAAAGACTCTTTTCACTTTTATCATAAGTTCTGGTCCATTACATTAAAATATTTGGCCCAAATAGTTGATCTCTTATCAACAATCTAAATTGAAATTCACTTGGATTGACTTGAACTTCACATCAGTTTTCACTTTAGTGAATAATACTGTTAATGTCTACTCAATCATATCAGCTCATCATCTGTGGATTAATAAAGTTCCAATGTTTAATAGGCAACCATCAATCAGTGCTTAGATGATTGAGAGGTTTCAAAATGAAAAGACCAGCCCATACCAAAATATATGGATACAAGGAACATCAGTTTAGTCTTACGTGGGATGTGGGATGACAATGAAATGTTATCATTGACATGGTTATGTTTCAAACTGACATTTTTATTATGTTTAGTTTAAAAGAGTATATGTTCTTTAAACGTAATCAATATATATTTTTTTTTTACCTCAGTAAATGCTGTTTCCATTTTTAGATAGTTCAATATTTTCCTAACCTCTGGTGACAGGCGAATATTATTTTATCTCTCCCTACCATATCCACACTATTACATATTTTTTTTGTGTGTGTGTCCTTCAGGATAAAAATATGTTTCTATTTTTCCGGTTTTTAGATTTTTTGAGAAATCAAAATTTTTAAGTTCAAGTGATGCACAGATATCTTCATTGGTCTGTGTGAGCATTAGAAAAACATCAGCAATAAAATAAAAAGTGTCTAAACATGCTTTGATATTGTATATAGTGATATACTATATCTGATCTGTTTCTTAATTAGCAAGAAGAAGAATAATACCAATGTGACCTAGGCCCATTGTATATAAGAGTGGCCTATCTCTCACCCAAGCTCATTTTATACAGGCTTTCATCTTCCCATAACCTATTGAATGGTGTCCCTTGACCCACAAGATAGGCCGTAAGTAGGCCATGACTTCTTGCATCCCTTGCTTTTTCTATGGCTCTGTCTGCTCATAAATATGGATTGTAAATGCTTAACATTTCCAGTTTATAGACGCATATGGAAATGGTTTTATATATGGGTGAAAAATCTAGCTGCAGATGGATGTCAGGCTCATGAAACCAGAAATATTAATTCAAATATTGTATTTAGGCCCAGAGTAATTTTCAGCTACAGGCCCATCAAACTGCAAATCCAAAACTAAGGGACAGAGGAACTGACAAGAATAAAGAAAAAATATTTATTTTGTTTTTGTATGACTATACTGTTTTTACTTTTTTCCTTTGTTTCTTTATGACAGTATATATTTTGTTCTCCGTTATTAGGCAGCAATGAATTGCAGAGAGTGTCATTTGTGGTCACTGAAGATATTCTCAGTGAGTGTTGTGAAAGAATACGAAATTGCAAGGGAAGCCTCCACAGACACTTAATGAATGAAAATATATTTTAACAATGCCCATGTCGCATAGTATATGTCAAGAATTGAGAGTTAGCATTACATCAGTGTGTGTGAAAAACATAAAAGTATGTGGTTTGGAGAGAGTCAGAAGAAACTGTGTAAAATGCAGTGGTATGCCAGAGTGGAAAACAGAGGAAGAATGATAGTTATATCAAAAAGAATATGAAAATGTCAATGTAAGTTTAAGCATCAATGTAACATTTTCAAAACTAAAAAGGAGACAGATGTAAAAGCAGACTGGCAAAGACATAACAGCTTGCTATAACCGGGAAGGATACTGAGCGTGCTCAAGGGCAACATTTAGAAAGCTGATATATGCTTCTTAGAATCCAAAGTAATTAAAAAAAAAATGTACTTCTCAACAATAAAATACAACTTATGTTGCTTTTTGACAGTACAAGAGAAAAGAAATCACTCACCCACAGTCTACATGTGACAAGGTAAAATACTGCCAGGTCTCCGTGACCATTTAGCATAACTACAGGACCAAGGTAGACATCATTCAGATATTTATTAGGTATGTGGCTTTCAATCAGTGGAACTAGCAGGAAGCTTCAATACAGATCAAGCAGCACTTTACATATTAAAAAAAACTTGTATAACCTGTAGAAATATAAGAGTAAAATTTCTCCTTCTCATATGCACAAAGTTGTGACAGCCAAGCATATCTGGATGACAGTATAAGGGAAATTTACAATCTTTTCCCAAGTAACCACACAAACAAGAGTTAAATTAATGACATGCATACCACTCGCCCCAGGACTGGATGTAACATGTTATTAATATAAATATAATACTAAAGAGATTTTGCTAAACCAGTAGTTATCACGAAGGAGACTGTGGACAATTCCACTCTCCTTGACCCACAACGGGAACCACTATTTAACCCCCGATGCCCTTCAGCACATGCGATCGGCTGAGTGGTATCCCACTGACCACATGGCCAAATACATTGCGGCTAGAATCCACAAACCCTGAATAAGGCCATGTGAAACAAACTACGGGCAGAATGCCCATGCCCTACGACCACTGATTTGGCCTGCGTCACACTGAACATAGGTCGCACAGTTCCTGGTCAAATCCCTCTGGAAGGCTTAGAAAGGGCTTGACTATTCCCTGCAGCACTGCCAGGACAAAGTCTTAGATGTCCTTCGGCCAAGTGCAACAATCTTCGACATGAATGAAGTTGCTCTAACCGAGGGTATACCTGTAGACTTAAGGGCCATCAAGGGCTGGATCCAACGATCCAAACACCACGTTGGCCACTGAGAGACATAATGCCATTCTCATTCAAATTGAACCAAAGCGAGTCAACCTAGCAATCTCTGAGCCTAGATCACAGGCAAAAGGTTTTTTTTTGGTGTCAGTTTTGTTAAGGAGCCTGGCAATTATGTCAGTACCTTCACGGCACTTGACAAAGCACAATCTAATATGAAAAGAGCGTTCTCTCAAGATTTTTGGAGGGGCTGGCAGACATCGGGGCTATCTTCCCAGCCGTTCTCCCCGGGTTTCCTACTGGGGTCATCGAGGTTCTGCTAATACTCTTAACTAAGACTAAGACACCTTTGTCCTTGTTCCCCATCAGGAGCAGACTTTGGGGACCAGGGGAACACTCTATGGCATGCAGCTATATGGTGAGTCTTTTTGCCATTCCATTTTTCTTAAATGTCTTGTGTGGGAGGCAGACTGTTCCAGTTTTTAGTTGTGAGCACAAGGGCACATGTTAATCTCAGATGTTTAAGTCCTGAACTTAAATTCTAGGTTATCACATCAAGTTTGTGCAAACCCCAGTTCAAACCTCTAGGCCTCAGCCGATCATCTTTTCCCCATAAGACAAGATCCTAGTGTCAGAGGAAATTCGCACACTAGTGGCAAAGGGAGCAATTTCCAAGGTTTCAATGTCCACTCCAGGTTTTATGAGCAACCTCTTCTTGGTACCAAAGAAAGGTGGTGATGTGAGTCCGGTTATCAATCTTCATCCCCTAAATGACTTTGTCGAGTACCACCATTACAAAATGGAATGTATTCACTGTCTCTGGGATCTTCTCAGGTTAGGAGATTGGATAGTAAAACTCGACCTTCAAGATGCTTACCTCAAGATTTCAATTGCTGTGGCACTTCAAGTGCCTCCCTGTCAGTATTTGTTCAGCTCCGTGGTGCTTCACCAAGCTGCTGAACATGTGGTCACCCTCCTTCGCAGCAGAGGTGTGCGTATGGTAAAATACCTGGGCGACATGCTAATCATGGCTCACGATGCCCACCTGCTTCCACAGCATCTCTCATGGCTGTTGTTCCTGCTTCAAAACTTAGGATTCCTGATCACTTGGGAAAAGTCGGTCCTCAACCCTGCCAAATGAATAGAGTTGTAAGGATTCAACATTGAACATCGCACGGGACACTCCTCCTAACGTCCGCGATGTTCAAACTTATCAAGAAATAAATTCGCTGGACATTGGCCCATCTGGGTTTGACCTTAAGACAACTCTCCAGGATGATTGCTCTCCTCTTGGCCTCCAAGCAATTTTCCTAGAGCCCCATCACTAAAGGGCTCTTTAACACCAACGCTTACTCCAATCTTGCTCCACTCGATTGCACCGCCCGGGAAGAACCCGCCTGATGGCTTCAGCACATGGAAGTGTGGAACAGCAGAGCGATTTTTGGGACCACTCCGGATATCATCATAGAATCCAACACGAGCATGCTTGGATAGGAAGGGCCATGTGGTCCTATCTCCACAGGGGGAAAATGGTTCACGGCAGAAAAAGAACTACACATCAATTGACTAGAACTCATGGCAGGTTTGTTTGCCCTGCGGAGCCTCCTCGGGTTCCAATCAACTGTTCCCTCCTGTTACGGATTGGACAACTTGTCCGCAGTCCACTACATCAATCATCTGGGCGTCATGAGATCCATGATACTGACGGACTTGGCAAAGGAGTTCTGGCAATTCTGCCTAGATCGCAATATCTCAGTGCAGGCAGATTACATTCCAGGCTTGTCCAATACTGTAGCAGATTGAAATTCCAGGCATCTGCGAGACGTCAGTGATTGGTGGCTGAACCGCTCAGTTTTCCTAAGTTTACAAACTCTCTGGGGTCCACTGCATATAGATCTCTTCGCATCTTGATTGAATTCCCAGCTCCCGGTGTTCTTCAGTTAGACACCGGATCTGGATGCTCTGGCATCAGATGCTTTCCTGGCCAAACACACACCTTTATGCGTTTCCTCCTTTCTTCCTACTGGCTCGCACACTATTGCATCTACAACGTTCTCTGACTTTTTTGGTTCTCATATCTCCTTTCTGAACTGCACAGCCATGGTTCCCATCACCCATGGAAAAGAGGATCTTCCAAGATTGCTACTGGTGTCCACGTACTTATTACAGGACCCTGACGGGAAACCACATCCCCTTCAGCTGCAGGGACACCTCTTACTGCTAGCGTGGCTCCTCTCCGGGGACCTTGGTTAGTACCAAATATTCCACGATCTACTCTCAAACTATTGGTGGGAGCTTGGGCTCTGGAAACAAGAAGTCATACCGCCATGCCTGGAATACATGTGGTAGTTAGTGCGTGAAACATATATTTTAAGTTTTCTTACTTTTCTTTATGACCAAGGTTTGGCCTTTCACACGATTAAAGTATACCGATCTGCAATTTCCACAGGGCATCATGGTCTGGATCGTTTCCCAGCGGGAAAACATCTGTTGGTTTGTCATCTTCTCCGAGGCTTTAGATTTGCGATGCACTTCATTGTGGGATCTGAACCTGTTGCTTTTTGAGGCTGGTCATGAACTAGTTATGCTTTTTTTGCCTGACATAATGCAAACGTGTGACAGATGTTCGAGCACTGGATATTGACACACTTTCATATACTCTTACTGGAGTTTCTTTTAATATTTCCATACATACGAAATCACACATTACTTCAGTCTTCTATCCCTTCTTTCCTCACAACTTTAATCTTTGTCCTGTGGATTGTCTCCAGGAACATGAATTGCGGATTTTATAATTCAGTGATCCGACATACCATGACTTGTTCTTGGCTCTTAAGACGACCACATCATCCAGTCTCTACTTTAACACTAGCCCACTGGCTTAAATTGATTATGTCATCGGCTGACAGAGACACTTCAGTTTATGGGGTACATTCTACTAGAAGTGCCATGGCTTCTAAAGCTTTCCCATTGGGTTGTAGGCTAAAAGACCTTCTCCAAGCGACTTATTGGTCTTGTTAATCTACATTTAAAGAATACTACTTTCATTCAACCTCACATTTCTCCTCTACAGTTATTCCATAGCTTTGAACTAGCATAATATGAGCCTCCGTGTCCTTTAATAAAATTTCCAGATTTCACAAATTACCTGATGTAAAGTCATGATTTTATTAAAGATACAGAGACTAATATTATCCCACCTGATATGAGGTATGTTTTGGTTTTGCGCTCCCGTTGTTGTCTATAGGAGTTATTTTTACTTTGCCTGATATTTTGTTTTCAATTTGCTTATGTAAATACTGTTCAGATATGTGGAACCTTTCCCTATGAATGGTATTTTGCTATCTTGGAACATATTTTATCACTTGTTTCTCAGTTCATTTTAGCTTGAAACATTTCTTTGGCTTTGTGTGGATCGGTATCCTCCCACTGTTGCGGGGGCGACAGGGGCAGGGCGCAAAGGAGCTATAGTGCTAGGAAGACAACTTTGTATAATAAATCAAATTCTGCCAGAACCTACATTGAGTACCCACTTATTCTGCTTCTGTACAGCACAAAATGTTTGATAAATCAATGAAAGAATTATCGTGTACGTGTTCCCTGGTTCAGTTTCTCTCAGAGGATGTCCTTTTTGATGGCACCAGATGTTCAAGTATTTGCATGTTTTGTTGATTTCTGTTCTTTTTGTTTCAGTTTTTGTTGATCTTCGGCATCATCAAGATAGAGGAGTGGCTTAGGGTCACATGGGAGTTTACAGCATATAGACTGGTCTTATTGGCTAACCAATTACAGTGAGGGGAAAGAGTATTTGATCCCCTGCTGATTTTGAACGTTTGTCCACTGACAAAGAAATGATCAGTCTATAATTTTAGTGGTAGGTATATTTTAACAGTGAGAGACAGAAAAACAAAACAAAAAAAGCACATGTCAAAAAAGTTATAAATTGATTTGCATGTCAATGAGTGAAATAAGTATTTGAACCCTTCGTACTGGGTTGCAAAACCCTTGTTGGCAATCACATAGGTCAGACGTTTCTTTTAGTTGGCCACCAGGTTTGCACACCTCTCAGGAGGGATTTTGTCCCACTCCTCTCAGCAGATCCTCTCTGAGTCATTAAGGTTTCAAGGCTGACATTTGGCAACTCGAACCTTCAGCTCCCTCCACAAAGGCAATGTCCTAATAGAATTTATAGTCATCACTTGCTTGCAGCAAATAACCGTTTTTATATGCATTACAGTAAGATTGCACATTATTTGAACAGTAGTCATTGGATAAGTGCTTAAAATTAGACATTCGGCCAAAGGATGCTATCCAAATTTGAACAAAATTGATAAGATTTATATGAGGGGCCAAGCCGAGTGGGGGGCTCTCAGTTTGTGACAAACCACTCAAAAACACTTTGACACAGAACTGCAATTTGCAGGTAAGGATACATTTAATTTACTATAAACCTTAATATATGTTTACTACTTTGCAGCTAAAGTATTTCTCACAATGTACAAATATAACCGTATGTTGAAGTCTAATTATCTCTCCTTCAAAACAGGTTCAGCATGTATATTAATAATACTCACTCTAAATTAATTTATTAAGTGTAAATTTGAGCTAAATTAATGCATTAGTAGAAATCCTGCAGGGAAAACACTTTAAATCCATTCTTGTGGTAGGCAATAATGAGGACGACTAATTTAATTAACATACCCCCTTAGGTTTTCAGTGCCAGCAATATTTTATTTTACGCTCTTTAGCACATATTTGTTTTTTAAACTAACAGTAATGTTTACACCAAGGTAAATGCAGTAACTGTATATTTCCTTTATCAATTTCTGAGTCAGAGAATCAGAGTAGAAACTAAAATGTACACATCAAGAAATGTCCAGTGTGTCTGGTGACTACTAGGACCAGTAGCTAAATATGGATTCTATCAGTTTAAAAAAAAAAAAAAAAACAGCATCCTAAGAAATTACATATACTACTTGCTTGCAGCCAATAAATTGTTTTTCTATGCATTGCAGTGTCAGGGTATTTATATCGGCAGACATCTTGTGCTAAAAAGTGAAACTTTTTCTTTTTTCTCTGTGAAAGATAGTCATAAATCTAGTCTTGACAGAAAATGCTGTTTAGCCATTGAAACGTGTATACTCATTGTATTGCATATCATTTGATACTGGATATTCATTGATTATTGTCACGCATGTTACATATTATTATTAATTAATTTGTTATTATAAAATAAATCTATTTTTATAACATTGTGATTTTATCTATATGAAATACATTTCACTTAACACGATAACGATCTTTGGGATCTGAGAATTGAATTAGTGGGCAATTCTCACTGTTTACTATTATTATTCCATATATATCCCCACAGCAGTCAGAGTACACACTATTTAGGCAGCATTCATTAAATGATTGCTTGGGGTGACAAGCTCAGCCAAAGAATACCATCTTAATTGGATAAAATTGATATTGCTACTAGTTGCTAATAGCAATATGCTGAGTGAGGGGTCAAGTCAAATGTGGGGCATCAGTTTGTGTCAAACCACTTGAAAATCTTGACACAGAACTGGTAAGTCGCAAGTGGCATTTTGTCACTATAGACTACCGCATCAGTACATACGTATATATCACAAAGAAGAAAAAAATGAATGATTCCATGGCCAGCGATTTGACTCCATAAGGAAGGAAACATTTAAGATATGTTTTATTCCTGTAAATGTAATAAAATAAAGCAGAGATTTAAAATTTAACCCACAAAATAACATTTTGTTTTGAGAAGTAAAAATGTTGATAGTGTGTTCAAAAATCATATCTGGTAAATGGTCTACTATTCTTAATCACTAGACATTTTAGTATCAAAATCTATCTGATTATTTAAATAGTTAATATACATAACAGTGAGTACTTGAGCAGTGTTTCTGAATGAAATGCTGTCCTGAACTTAAATTCACCGGATGGTGGAATAAATAAAAAAACTATAATTGAACTTAAATGGACACAATAGTCACCCAGACCACTACATCTCATTGGGTGCTGGCCTAGGCCCGAGGGGGGCGACAGGGGCAGGGCGCAAAGGAGCTATAGTGCTAGGAAGACAACTTTGTATAATAAATCAAATTCTGCCAGAACCTACATTGAGTACCCACTTATTCTGCTTCTGTACAGCACAAAATGTTTGATAAATCAATGGAGTGAATCATTGTTTACGTATCTGAGTTTAAAAATATATTGTTTGAATTATTTATCTTTTATTGCTAGTATTTTTGCTTTAAAAATAACCATTTGCTTTATTTTATACACTAAAGTATGCATAGCACCCAACAGCTTAAAAATGTGAAATATTACAAACAACAGCTGCGTTCATATACCTCCTCCTTTACAATCATGAATTATTAATCTATGAAATTATAAATGAATTGCAGATTATCTATATTTAGTTCATAGAACTTTGGATTTGAAAAAAAAATGTTTTTTGTGATATAATTATTTTTCATCAAACTGTAGAATAAAGGCATGCAGGAAATAAGCTTACGTAATAAAATATAATATGTGCTAACCTTGTCTGTCAGTAGAATAAAGGCCTTCCTCTTCAGCTGAATTGGCAGACCAATATCCCTGTGGCACATCTTGTTCTTTGACCTGTGTCAAGATCTTACTAAGATTGTCTTCTGCTGATTGAATGTTTATTGCACTATCATCTATTGCTGAGTTATCAGTACAGTCACCATGAAACAATTCCAAAGAACCGGTGGATTGCTCACAGCTATGCTTTAGTTCACTACCTGCATCTTTTTCAGATATTGAATGGAATAATGCCAACTCTTCAAGAACCAAGTCAAACTGAGATTTCATTTCAAATTGTACTTTATCTTCAGATATTGTTAACAAAAATGATATCCCATCTTCAGTTTTGCCTTCAGTAGCATCATTTTTCAAATGCTGTGTAAGTGCAGTGCCATCTGGCAGAGTCATATCGGTCACCATATTACCCAGTGAATTATTAGAAAGATGTTTTTCATCAGAATATGGTTGCATATTTTGACATTCCTCTTTCACAAATCCATTTGAGAAATATATATTTTCTGCAATATCTTTAAAAGGAGACAAAATGCAAGGGCCTTCTTTTGTATTCAATAAACTGTTAACATCATGTTTTCCCAAATCAAACATCTCAGTAGCCACTTGCAAAGTACATTCAGGATGCTGATTCACAAAAACTGATATATTTTTTCCTATAATGTTAGGGCCTATCTGTGTGGACGTTGCTAAATTCAATTTCTTATCATTTGAAAAACTGGTATTATCATCTTGTTCTTTGTTTGAAACCTTACTTACAGAAGATGTACACAGTGATTCCAGCAATATGTTTTTGGAATTTACTAGACAAACACTTTCAGCACACTTGAATTGGTGTTCTGAGATTGTGATGTTTAATGCCTCTAGATTATCATGCATAGTTTGGTATTCATCATATAAAACAATATCACTTTTCTGTATCTTTCCAACCCATGGTTCCTCCCAACTTGACGCTATAGATATTTTTTCAAAATGTTCAGTAAAAGAGTTCTGGTTTTCACACGATTGAGCTCTGATGTTGCCTAAGGCAATTGAGGAGATATAATTTTCTAAATGTTGTGTATTGCCAGTATATTTGTATTGACACTTAAGTAAATTTTTGGGGATCAAACTAGACTTTCTACTAAACACATTCGCTTTAATACAAAACTTCCGCCTTTCTGCTTCTTCAAAATATCTGCCTTTGACTGAGTCACAGGAAAGTTTGTTACTGGTTTCTGGAAGAGTATGTTTTTTGGAAGTACTTTGCAAGCTATTCCTTCGAAAACATGAGAACTCATTTTTAGACGTTCCAAGTAATGAAGCTGCAAATATTGAATGCTCCATGTCAGACACAAAGTGCTGTTCTCCAGGCTGCCTCGGGTAATTGAGCTGTGCTAGAAATGCATTTTCTGTTGACAGCAATGACTCATCATTATTGCCAAAAAGACGGAAAATGCAAGTTTTCTTATCAATATATGGCAATGACAAATCGTTTTTTTGCAAAACATGACATTTTGTAAAATCTGCTAATATGTTTGCAGCAAAACTATGTTTAATTTGATAGTTGGTATTTACATCAGTCGTACAGTATAAAGGTTTTTGTTTATGTGCTGGCTCAACTTGCAGTGCAGAATTAACATTGCTTAAAATAGCTTCTGTATTATCTTGTCTACTGGCACTATAATGAGGAGTTCTACTGGAAAATGCATGGTTTTTAAGTCCATAATGGGGAACAATATAATCCAGAGGACTATCACTCTGAGGAATAAAACTACGAGTAAACACTCCTGGTGTTTCACCAACTAAAATGTGCAATAAATTTGTGTCTAGTATAGCTGGCTCCTTGTTGCATACAGTTACAGTAGGATAGATAGTAATATTACGACCATCTGTGTCATAATCAAATGTCTGGTGAATTTTTGAAGTTAAGGCAGAAGTCACCATATTTTCTCTTGAATACTTTTTTATACCAGGGTTAGATTTTTGAAAGGTTTGTCCTAAATCTGATATTTTCTTGGATATTAGACATTCATTTGATGTTTTGTAATACGGTTCCTTGTTATATGATGCACCAATAATTTGCTTTCCTTTATTATCATGCTTAGTATTTGTATACTTATTTGTTATAGCAATGTCGATATCACTGCATGTTTTGATATTCCAAGGCTTTTTTGATATGTGTTCAGTGTCCTCGTAAATATCGGCTTGTGGCTTCCTCTTCCAAATCCTATTATATTCTATTTCAGTAGACAGGTCATAATTTTTGCTCCAGCTTTCTCTTCCAGTTTGTGTAGAGCAGAAACCATAGTTGCTGAGCTCTGAAATAGTAGTTGGTTTTGCCTTAGATTGATGTGCAAGTTCAATTTCTCCTCCACAGGTAGTATAACATGAATGATATGTCTTTTTGAGGTTAGGAGTATATATGTCAAGTGTGCATTCTGGTCTCAGAATTTCAATAGGTGAAGGCAGATAAATGCTGTTACTAGCTGTATGATCCTTCTTAGAGGTGGTCATTTTTTCAATGGATAATTTAGTTGACTGAAAAAATGATGTGAAAAGTGAATTTTCAGTCACATTTTGGAAATTTGTGAGATATTCAAGTTTGAGGTTTTGTTCTTTTAAAGTCTTTTTAATACCAAATCTCAATTTATATGCATTATGGCTTGAATTTGTATATTTCATTCTGCATGGACCTTTCTTTGTCATTTCTGCACCACTTGGTTCTGCAATATCTCTTGTGTGCCCAGCTCTAGTCAGCAAAACTGGAATGTCCCTTATGCGCTTATTGTGTCTGTGCCATATGTGACCAAATTCTGTTTTGAGTACTGTTTACTATACTTTACTAGCTTAATACAAAAATGTTCTAATTTCTTGTTTTCTTTAGTTCAAATTGAATATGCACTGCAAAAGAAAAAAAATCAAAACAGAAAAAGGGTTTTTTTGTTCCTAAATTGCTAAGGGAGTGTTGAAAAGATGAAAATTACATACTTGATCTTACCTATGTGGAACTACTTAATATTACAAGTAGGAACTAAAACACAGGTATCACTGCTACAATCTTACACTATTCCTGGCTTTAATCCACGGGTAATAGTCTGTGGCAAAACACAAAAAATTTACAAAGAAAATACACTATAATAAGCAAAGGCTACAAATAGTCACTTATCTGACAAATTAATATGTGATTTGTCTATAGTTAAAAAAAAATATGATAAAAGTCCATGATAGTCAATGCGAGAAAAATAAATAAGTCGAGAGATGTACTATAATTCACAGTTTTCCTAATTTTATATTTTATTAAAAAATATAGAACAAAGTTTTTCCAAATATTTTACTATTCAGCATAATCATATACATATCACCTGCATGCATCAACATAACATAGCAGCTACAGTAGTTGCTGTGACAGAGTGGGAGAACAATTATTATATAAGCTTTGAATTAATTGAGAAGTGAGGGAATACATTTACATTTTATGAAAAAATTTGGAACGTTTCTACAGATTTGTTTTATAATTTGTATACATTTACTAGCAATTCTGCTAACACAATGTATACAAATAATTATTGTCGCTACCATTTTTATTGTGTTACATAAAGCATGAGAGGAACACGTTAGAAGAAAGTTTAGGGATTAGTAGGAGGCTCAGTTCACCATCTAAAGCAACAATGATTGAAATCTCATGATACTATTAGCATATGAAAAAAATCATGGCTCCACAGAAATAAAACTCAAAGAGCATTAGTATTATACATATTATTGAGATTAATTGCTGTGGAGCTTTGTGATACACTCATAAGCACTGACATTACTGTGAGTTTTATTGCAGTGGAGCTCTGTGATTTACTCATTTGCACTGTCCACAGTTTGAGAACAGTTTTATGACGGTAAGGTAAGATGGCTCCCAGGACTTCAGATCCCCTAACAGTTTACCATATTAGTCTTCCAGTGTCAAAAAAAACTTTTTTTCTGGAATAAGGTGAAGGATTCTAGTTTATGTTAAACAAGCAGGATAACTATAAAGAATTACTCTATGGGTTGGTTTTGGTGCTAAGATGGAGTCAGTGTCCCTTTATTGCATTACATTTTTTAGGATATATGTTTGCATGCACGAAGATTACACACACACACATATATATATAAAGTGTTTTTATCTTAATTTCAAGGGCATTTTTCCTCTCTTCTCATGTAGGACTTACATTATTGTATTTCTGCCAGGCCTCGCTGCAAGATTTATATACACGATTTAAGAATAGCTTGAGGGTTACATTTAGAAGTATGTTTAAAATCGTGAATCACACAGCATTTTGTTTGAGTGTAAGCCATGCTTTTACAAGTACGTTAATTTAAAACTGTCAGACAATGTCCTTAAGTGTTAACCAGGTAATGACAAAACCAGACCAAAAAAAAATATCAGAGACCAGCAAGCTAGACTTAAAGTCAATGGCTAAGTGCAGTAGCATATTCTGATTTCCAACGCTGTTTAAAAATTACTTGCAAACAAACTGGGGACTGCACCAAAAGACTTATATTACCATAACCACTACAATTGGCTTTAGTATTCATATTACTTAGAATGTCCCTTTGACATATAGTTATAAGATCAATATATTCTCCAAAAAAATGTGAGCAGATTGTTAGTACCTACTGGACTTCTCTGATTATGTGTAAAATAGATCAGACTGCTTTCAACATATAGAGAAGTATCTGTTTATTTAGACCAAATATACAATATTTTTAATAAAGTGGACAACATTACATTAAAAGGACAATTCAGACACTTGCTAATTCAGTTTTGGGCTCAACAGTAGGCTGCCCTTATGTGTATGCTCAGATATGTATTGCTTTTGAAGATAAAAAGTGAGTCTGTACACTTTGCCATGTCTCCCACCTTGTAGGGAGGACATTTTACAATGTGGGAGGCACATTGTAAATAATTAATATTGTACATAATTTTAGCTTACTAACCTACGTACGTACATAGCTACTAACAACACTAATCAGTTAGCTGAAATGCAGGGAAACAAGCAGCGGAGGAAACCAAGACAGTACCCTGGAAATATAAGGAAGGGAGGACATGACTGCTGACTTTAAGAAGGGGAGAAAGGGCATTTGGTTGCAAGGGTTTAAAGCATCCTAGTGTGCTGTTTCCCGGATAAGGCTCCTTCACTACGGGGGAAATGCCAGTATTGCTATGACCAGCAATTCCGCCAAAAGATGGCAGTGTGCCCGGGTATGGATTTTGGGGTTCAGGATGGTAGTCTCTGCTGTTAATAATGACCCCCAGTAGACCATCACATTTTCCCGGGTCTGCCGGAGGTACCACCGGCTCCTCCACAGGGCAGAAAAAAGGTGTTTGCTGGCTCTTTAACGAGAGCCAGTGCCGGTGGTACAGTTCGTGCAGGTTTTGCCACGAATGTGCTCACTGCGGGGGAGCGCACCCAGCTATGCGCTGTTTCCGAAAAGGGAAACCGGTCGCCGGGAAGGGTCCTTTTCGAGACGACATTCCTAGGGGAGAGAACGCCAGTGGACGTCCTAAGGATGCGCCCCTGGCTCGCCCGGTATCATAGAGTTTGCAATGCGCAGATTTGATTCAACGGATTTCAGGTGGGTTTTTGGATTCCTTTTGTTCCTTCTTCATTGCCCCAGTTGGCGGACAATCTCTGCTCGGTTAAGGGCAAGAAAGACATTCTGCAAGAAAAGTTAGACGCAGACGTCCAGGCGGGCCACATGGCAGGCCCTTTTTCCTTTTCTCCCTTTTATAATTTACGCATTTCCCCTCTGGGGCTGGTTCCTAAGAAGGAACCTGGTTCTTTTCGTTTGATCCACCATCTGTCTTATCCGTCGGGAGGTTCTGTTAATGATGACATCGGGAAAGAAGTTTGTCGAGTGCGCTATGCATCATTCGACAGGGTGTTAGAGTTGGTACGCCGGGCCGGGCCCGGCGCGTTGTTGGCAAAATCCGACATAGCCTCGGCTTTCCGCCTGTTACCGTTTCACCCCTCCTGCTTTCACTTGCTAGGTGTTTCGTGGGGTTTTATACTACGATATGTGTTTGCCCATGGGCTGTTCAATTTCTTGTTTCTATTTTGAGATGTTTTCGTGTTTCTTGGAATGGGTTACAGTGCATGAGGCGGGTTTATCGTCGGTTACCCATTACCTGGATGATTTTTTATTTGTCATCCCGTCTGTGTTCCGGGGAATGTGAGCGATTGTTACATTCGTTTCAGGCAATCATGGGGCATTTCGGTGTCCCCGTCGCGGAGGCCAAAACGGTGGTTCAGGTATTGTCGTTTTTAGGAATAGAAATTGACTCAGTCGAAATGGTTTTCCGTCTGCCGGCTGACAAATTGTCGGTCCTGTTGTGCATGGTCGACTTGATTCGCGGGGCCAGGAAGGTACAGTTACAGCAAATGAAGGTGCTTCTGGGGCACTTGGCCTTTGCATGCCATGCCCTTCCCATGAGTCAGGCATTTTGTAGGCGCCTTTCTCTTTCCACTGTGGGGGTTAGGGAGCCCTTTCATTTTATTCGGGTCACTCGTCGTTTGCAGGCGGACCTTCAGGTGTGGAGCTCCTTTCTGGAGCGCTACAATGGTTGTTCTTGCTGGCTGCAGGAGACTTGACATTACTCCGAATTAAGCCTCTTCACGGACGCATCCGGTGTCGTGGGTTTTGGAGCGTACTTCCAGGGCCAATGGTGTGCGGAGGCATGGCCGGCCCGGTGGCTGGGCTCGTACGTGATGCGGAATTTGACGTTTTTGGAGTTGTTTCCCATTGTGGTCTCCTTAGAGCTCTGAGGTGAGGCTCTTCGCCATAGGGCAGTGGTTTTTCACACTGACAACATGAGCGATGTCCGTGTGGTAAATCGCTCGTCCTCCAGTTCCTCTCCCGTTCTAGCGCTTCTGCGTAGGCTGGTTCTCCTTTCTTTAAAATGTAATATTTGGATTAAAGCAAGTCATGTCCCAGGTGTGCAGAAAGTGGTAGCTGACTCTCTTTCTCGGTTTCAGTGGGACTGTTTTCGGGAGTCGGCGCCGGCAGCAGAAGCAGTGGGTCTCAGCTGTCCGGACTCCTCATGGGAGATCGATTTCGAGGATTGAGCCGCTTGGTGGCGGACTCATTGTCGGACGCTTCTTGGAGATCGTATCAATTGGTATGGCGCCAATGGCTGGCCATGTTCTCGCAGAGTCGGGTGCTGGGCTCTGAGTCGGGGTGCCTGGAGGCGACCCTAACAATGCTAGAGGCGATGCTCGAACAGGGTCTTGCTCCTCGGTACCCATAAAAAAAAAAAAGTGAAAAGTCCTTGACTGCTCTGTCTTTCCTATGTAGGTTTATGGGATGGCGAGACGTTTCACAGGAGGGTATGAGGCTCGCCGTAGACTTAGAGGTGTGCGGAGGCATGGCCACATGCGGACCCCAAGAGCAGGTGAGGCATAGGGCCGACTGTGGAAAATCGCTCGTCCTCCAGTTCCTCTCCCATTCTAGCGCTTCTGCGTAGGCTGGTTCTCCTTTCTTTA